AATAAATTGTAAGTTCCATGATAAACAAAAATTTACCACGTACATCTAATGATAAAAGTTTAAAAACCTTTATAAAGCGTTGAACCACCCGATAAAACAACGTTGGCAAACAGAGACTTCCTTAAATCTAGGTCAGCACGATTGATTGAATCAACAACAACTTGGTGAATACCAGCGTATTCTTGTCCAATCAATTCAGGGTTGAATAAAATTTCAGGTGCTTTAAATCTTTCTGCACCCAACTATAAAAAGTTCATGCTTAAATGGTTGCTTAATATATTAATAAACTAAACTAAACAAAGTATAGGTTTTAATACCTTAACGACGTTACCGTCAGGTAAGGTAAATTCCTCAAATTTTCCGTTAGTATCTTTCTCTTCTTTTGATGGATTTATTGCAATATAACACGTTTTTTCCTTAATGATACGAACGACTTCTTTTTCCGATGTGGTATGAAAATTGTACCCCGCTTTACGAAGAAGCAGCTGCAAATGCTCCGTAACGTCTCTATAGCAATTAAAATACTATTATTTGATGTTATTTGAAAAAACGTAATGTATCAAGACATTGGTGCATCAGTTAAACATGCCTTCCAGCAATGTCAACTCGTCGAATAGCGTGTGGGAGAGCAAATCCTTCATAAACAGGGACCGCATGAGTTACACCATCACCTGAGTCAAGAACAATGCCAGTAGTTCTACCAGAAGAATAACTAGTTGAAAAGATTTGATCATAAGCAATATTATTTAACGCTTAATACCAAATATTTTCAAGTAAATTAAGAATCCTGACTCACAGACTCAGCACTGCTTGAATTGATGCAAACAAAGCAGGAACATTGAATGTTTCAAAAAACATTTGGGCAGCTTGTTCTCTATTAGATTTTGGGTTGAGTGGTGCCTCAGTCAAAAGCACTGGATGCTGAAAATAAATGTGCAGACGGTAAAGCAAATAGGTCAAATTCCCATTTGGAACACCAAAATTTCTGCACATGTACATACTTCTTCGGATGCAATTTTTAATTCTTCTTCATAAATAAATTTCCATATACGCTCCATATCATCCCAATCAGATACAATGCCATGTTCAATAGGATATTTTATTTTGAGAAGGCCTCGCAACTCTTGTACCTTACGTCCAATAAAAACTTCCCCCTCGGCGGCACCCGCCATGATACGAACGTGTTTTGGCCTTCCTACACTATAATCCACAAAAGGACATCATTTTCAGAAAAAGGAAAGCGACGAAAAGATACTAAATAGTGGTTAAACATACTAGGATGGGAAAAAACACTTTGGAATTTCGTCACCAGCAAACCCGGCCTTAATAACTCCAGAGCCCTAAAAAAATAAGTTAATACCGAAAAAAGTCACATTACATTTGTTAATATTTTTTGCTTACATTATCAATAACCACGGGCTGGTTTGTCAAAACGTCTTCGTACTCCATTGTAAATTCACTGATGATTTAATTAGAAACGAGATTCTTTCAACCTGTTGAGTCATCTTATGTTGCGATTCAGATCTTTCGTACAGGGGAGACCGTCCCAAATTAGGAAATTACGATCCGATTGTTACACAATTGAAAGAAAATTTTTTATCGTTATCGTTATATCGTATTTTACGCGATATAGAAATGATCTGCAATATACTAAAAGGTTATTCTAAAACCGATTTCTATTTAAAAAAAAAGCGTTGTTTATTATCTAAAAATATAAAAATAACAACCAGTTTTAAAAAAACCTTTAAACTTTTCTTGCAAAAGTTATTCTATGAATATGTACTCTAGAAGTCCGTGGGGATCTCTGAGGCTTTAAAAGGCGGTTGTATGCCAAATAATAATACAATCAATGATTGGTACAAATTTCATACAGTACTATAGAATTAAAAAAGAATTTTTCAATTGAAAATCTTTTACCAAAAAGAGCTGCATTATATGAATTTGAAAAATCTTTGACTATATTAGCAGTTATAGGACATGTTCTAATGGTTGCTATTACTTATAGATCAAATGAGTTGATATATTAAATTTTATATGTAAATTTTGACAAAAAAATTACTAAAATTTAATTTAGAGAATTGCTATTTGCATCATTAATTTGACTAAAATTATATCCTAACTCTAACTAATTCTGGTCAAACTAAAGGTACAAATAGCAAAAATTATGGTGTAAATAGCTATATCCTTTAATTTATTCAAAAAAA